ACATTGTTACATTCCGACTTATGTTCTTAATTTATTTACGCAATACCGCATGGAAACACATCCAAACGAACCACAAAAATGCGGACCCTGAGCGGAACTGACATGTATTGCTTTACGGTCTGAAATCTGGGATGTGGTCAATTGAATTGCCAATAACTTGCGTGTCGGACTATACCATTTAGGTGTGGGGAGGTGGCTGCGGGATAGTTAGCATGATGTGGTTGATTGACAGGCCAATTAGTAACATGCTGTCTTTGTTTTATTTTACAGGCTGCTTTTAGGTTTAAAAATAAAGATCAGAGATAGGCTGCTTTTAGGTTTAAAAATAAAGATCAGAGATAGGCTGCTTTTAGGTTTAAAAATAAAGATCAGAGATAGGATATAGGCTGCTTTGAACCACTCTAGTTAAGATTTTTTTGCAGACTTACAAAAAGCACGCCATTTTATGTTAATTACCAACGACAAAGGATCACTTGCGGGTCACAGGACGCGGTCACTGACCTCTACCGGATGCCATCAATACGTAACACACAACGTAAGAAATGGACATATAAATAAACTCAATGCATATGCATGTATAAAAACCAAGATGTAAGATGAATCAAAAACACTTTTCTAGTATCTTTGGGTAAATGTACGATTCCTCGATTGTGGCTCAGCAAACGTAGTCAGAGATGAATGAGCCCGTCATGTTAACGCCATAAGTAGTGTGAAATTAAGTGCGAAGCAGGGCGCTGGGCGGCAGCGTCTGACGCGCCGCCTCGATTAGCAAGCATTGTTTGAGGTGTTATGTTCTTTGTTGGAGGTGTTTACATTCATTGAGTTCATGTGGAGGGAGCGGTATGGAAGAGCTGACAACGAGGCAGTCACGAACATTTTACGCCATATTTCGGAACAGTACCCCCTAAATTAAAACCATTTCGATACGGCGTTCTAAATTAAAACCATTTCGATACGGCGTTCTAAATTAAAACCATTTCGATACGGCATTCTAAACTAAAACCATTTCGATACGGCGTTCTAAATTAAAACCAAATTCGATACAGCGTTCTAAATTAAAACCATTTCGATACGGCGTTCTAAATTAAAACCATTTCGATAGGGCGTAACTAAATTAAAACCATTTCGATACGGCGTAACTAAATTAAAACCATTTCGATACGGCATTCTAAACTAATACCATTTCGATACGGCATTCTAAATTAAAACCATTTCGATACGGCGTTCTAAATTAAAACCATTTCGATACGGCGTAACTAAATTAAAACCATTTCGATACGGCGTTCTAAATTAAAACCATTTCGATACGGCGTTCTAAATTAAAACCATTTCGATACGGCGTTCTAAATTTAAACCATTTCGATACGGCATTCTAAATTAAAACCATTTCGATACGGCGTTCTAAATTAAAATCATTTCGATACGGCATTCTAAACTAAAACCATTTCGGTACGGCATTCTAAATTAAAACCATTTCGGCACGGCATTTAAACAAAAAAAACCCAAACAAAACGGCCTATTTCAGGGCCAAAACATCCTCCAAGAAGGGATATACCGTAAAAATATGACACATAATCACACACATTATTTGTCTCAATAAACATATTTTTTTAGCAAGCCTTTGCCCTGAAAGAGAGATAAAAGTAAATGATTAGTACTTGAGTAAGTGTGAACAGCAGTGATTAACGCAAGCTAGCTCCTCCCCTTCTTTGAAAACTCAACCACCCATTCCCGCAGCCACCTCCCTCACACCTAAATGGTATTAAGTAATTCTACCATTTTGTTGGTGCAAGCCGGGTCAAAAAATCAAAGTGTTGTTGTAAATCATGGAGCGCCATATGGAATATTTAAGAGATGTTCAATAGAGATTCAGTTAGTACTTTTACATTTTTTGCCTGAATTTTTAACGTTATAAATGGCTTTAATTTTAGGAATTTGGCTTTATGTTAGTGTGGCG